GAGAGAGAGAGATATCTCTTTAATTGAAATATCGCTGCTTAACAAGTAAGGATGTAAATATCGCAGTTTCGAATAAAAAAGAAAGTTTCTTGGCCTGAAAAAGACCTTAGAGATTTGTTCGAGGAAATTAATTTATTATTGCAGCCCACTGATATGATCCCATTATGAGAAAATCGAATCCAAAATGAAGAGACTTGTTATTAAGATAAAGGGAAGTTGTTGTGAGAAACCTGTCATGTTATAAATATTTCCTGGAATTCTCGAGTTTCGATTTCGAGTTTAATTTTAACTCTTCTTACTTAATTATAAAAATAGATTATGCCGTTTCGCGTACTTTGAGAATCGTTAGATAACGGTCCGATTTATTCGCGATTAATCATCCGCGTTCCAGAGTGGCTCACGATCCGATGATAAATTCGTGCGTCTTATCGCGGGTATGCTTTAATGAAGGCACAAAGTCCGTAGTTGGCGTGACTTCGACCGAACTATTTTCCCGAACGCATATTTTCGTAATGCATTTGTGGAATTTGCCGATCGGGTATCCATGTAATGAAGAAGCAGCAGCGAAACGACGGTTGCGCGGAATGCTTCCGAAAAGTTACACATGGACTTCGACGCTCATTGAGAACGTTGTTTACGTGACTCGACAAGTAGCGATAAGGACTAGCGAAAATATGCCGTAAAATATTATCAGTATCATCGTTCGCGAGAGGTAAGAGACTTTTGAAATTATTTCAATTGTAAAAATTAATTTGTCATTAATCTTAAAATCAATTTCTGATACTGTGCAGAGTTGTCTCTCATGCAAAATTAAAATGTAAACCATTTTGATAAAAAAAACAAATATTGAAATAGGAATTAACGTCAACGAAATTTCAAATCATAATAATTTTAACCGTGTTCAATTTAAATTTAATATTTTGTCTATATATAAGTAATATTAACGCGTTTAAATATACATAAAAAAATGCACCTTTCTTCTCACGTTTTTTTTTTTTTTTCTAAAGTTCGGACGACAATGCAGTTTGCGCCGTAACAATAACGTCGTCATATTCTTGTTTACGCAAGTGTCAGCAATTTGCAACAACTCGCAGACTGCCCTGTGAAAAAGCAGTTTTAGATACTCGCGCGTTACACGGTCTCCAAGTTTAATAAAGAGGCACTACGGGTCGACGTTTCCTCTCTTTCTCGATCTCGTCTCTTCATTCCGCTTCATTTCCCGTTACTCTCACGTGTTTTCATAACGCAGTCTGGGAATCCATTTTCCGCGACAATGTCAAATGTCGGATAAGGTAGAGGGAAAAGAATAATGTACATGTGTTTCGGTAAATATTTGCACGGCGGAGGGTTTTAGCGAGCAATCTCTCTCGCTATTCTTCGCTCTCTATTTCTCCTGTATGTGTGTACGTACGTGTGTATGCATCGGGACTATACGCATTAGCCGCACGCGCGGAATATTTGTTAGTTGGCATGACGATAAGGTCGCATTCCATCGCGCTGAGCCGCGGTGGTACATATCAGCATTCCGGGCACTCGAAAAGATAGCGCTTATCTCGCGGGGGCGAAGGTGCGATGTTGCGCGAGAAGGAAAGGTAAAAAAAGAAAAAAAAAAGAAAAAAAAAAAAAAAACGTAAGAAAAATATGCGCTGAGTATGCGACGTCAAAAAATTTTGAATTAGTTCGAGGTAGGTATAGGGAAGAAAGAGTAAGAGGGAGGTCGGTTGAGAGCATAAAGTAATTGGACAATCATATTTTTCGCGGGGAACGTGGGACATCCGTGAAACGCTCTCGCTTAAATGTTTTCGCTTAAATGACGTCGTAAAAGTTGCGCTGGTGGCCGCGCGCGATAAATTCGCGAGTAATATTCTTTCGGGCGGTGGAATATTAATTTTGTCGAAATATTTTTCCCGCGGTGGCTCTCGTATCTTGCGACTCACTCGGCGTAATCGCCGATATCTCGCGCATAATCCACTACGTCCACTACGTGACGAATAATAAATTTAAATTTCATATTGGCTACGACACAGCGAAGAAACGGAAAGTGGGAAAACTGATAATTATGCGATTTAAAACTATACTACTTGTAATTATTTGTTCGTAAATGGCAAAATCAAATATCGTTAGCGCGGCCATACGAATTAAGTGATTTTTCGAAAGTTTTCAAGTTTGTCGTTGATTTAACTCGCTTTAAAATTATGCGCAAAACTTGAAAGAGCTCGATTAACGCGCGATATCGCGGCCACTTCGACTTGGCAAATTATGACCGAATATTTTACTTTCTCATTGCTTATTCGCTCATTTATATTAACCGCTTAATAAAATTATTCATTTTCGCAAGTTTCTAAATATTTTTTTCTATCTCACGAGATGAAACGAGATGCATTTGCTATCAGACGATAGCAATTTAATTGTTATTTATTGCATTTTGACACTCGTAATATTATGTAAACGCGTGCCTCAATTAGTTTACTAATGAGCACAATAAATATTAATAACGGTATCGACGCTCGTTATTCCAGCTGTTTATAATTTCAATGTAATACAACGAGTCGGATTTATTGAGAAAAGAAAAAAAAATAACCGGTCATTAGCGGGACTGTATTATATCGGACACAAGCGCAAACAGTTATCGTCGACGATTGGAGGAGATATTTTGTAAGGTTACATCCTGTAGCTGGATATATTACGTGGCGGAGTCTCGCCCATGAAAAGTCGTTCCGTAAGTTATTACGACGACGTTCACGAGTTTTTAGTTTATTCTTCTATTTATTACACGGGGACACGAGGATCCGATAACTATACACTCATTTCGCATAAATCTGCCGCGCTGACAGTGCGATCGATGCGTTTTCTATGGCGAGATACTCGTTTGACGGGAGGTATTCTTACATCGCGAGCATTATCGACTTCGAAACAAGTTACTATTGTTCGCGCTTATATCGGAGAGGGGAACCCCCTCCCGTTAGTTTGCGTCGTCCCGTAAAGTTCGCCGATCGCATCAAAAATTTTGAAGACGGCTCCGCCCGCGGCTTCCCTAAAATAGCTGATTAAATTAATGAAGCGGAATATTCTGTTTCCCGCCGCTCCGCCGAGCGGCTGCACCTTCGTCGGCGAAACTTCTTCGGCGATTTACGCATTCGTGAGGAGCTTCTCGTAACACGCTCGCTGTTACGTTAAGTCGAACAACAAATATTGTTCCCGATACGAGATTATATTTCTACAATATACTATTTTCAATCAGAAAATATTTGCTCTCTCTCAGCAAATGCTCGCTATTTTCTCTCTAAACTATTTTTCCCCCCCTTTTTTCCCAAAACTTGCATTACCGTTTTCACGTTGTGTACAATAATTCGCGAATGTTTCGATCGGACTGACAGATACCGATCGGACACCGATTAATTTCGCGCACGACGAAATCTTTCCCGATTATTTCTCCCGTCTCCGCGTTTTGTCAACGTGTTCAGAGTTTTACTCTGGGAGAACCTCTCGTTTAAAGCGCGACGTTAATTCCCGATCAATTTCAATTACGGACGACAGACACGTTGATCGGCGGAAACGTCGTACGTGCGCGAGCGGCGTGATCGGCAGACACGGTAATTACAGAGGAAACACCCGCGAGTAACATTCCGCGTCTGTCAGGATAATACGCATCGACGGTTATTTTCGATCCGGTAATTATCGTTTCATTGCGCATCGCGCTTGTCAAAATTAATAACTATTATACCGGATATGCGCGTGGTGCAAATTAGAAGTAAATGTGGAGGGAGAGTAAAATATATATAAATATATATATATGCCGGAGGGTTGACATTAATTCAACAGGTTCTCCCTTACCTGTCCAGGCGATTCGCGTGCTCCTCGTGGCCCTCTCGTCGTCTTGCCAGCCGCCATTGCCGCCGCCGCCGCCGTTTCGTCTCGATTCTTTTCCCTCGCCCACCTGTTCCCGATCGCCTTGCGCCGCCGACTCGCCGAGCGACGTGCCTGGAATAAATTATTAATCGTATTCCGATCTGTCCTTGCACTTTTCGCCCCAGTTGCCTAAGTTTCCGCGAAGGCGAGCGCGCGCTCGCCGCGACGGCGATTTAATTAAACGAACGAACGTTCAATCGCGAATTGCCGATCAGCGACCCTTAATTATTCTGACTTCACGATCGGTGGCACCGATAGCGAGCCGTTGAACCCGCGGCGAAAGATGAACTTTCGCCAAGAAAAATAAAACAAACGATATCGCATCGCCCGTGTCGTGCCGTAACGACGAATTTATCATCGTTTAGCGTTATTCGCATCGAAGAAATTTCAAACGGGTTAATCACTTGAGCGTTACGTAAGATTTACTTCCGAAATGAACAAAGTGGAAAAAAAATCGTCGTAAAAGATAAATGCTAAAATTAAATTTCTCTCTTATATAAACTCGTGAAATTCGCATCCGTTCGGAAACGATCATTACATCAGGGAAAAACAGGCAAACAGCAATTATATTAGTGGTTAGAATAATCGCGTGCTTTTTGAACCGCGTAATGCTGGCGTTTTAAAGTCGGTGTAATTAAAAAGCGGCATGCGCAACCGGAATATGACTTACGCGGACACGTCATCGTTTATAAATGTATAATAACTCTTACGAAAAAACACGGAACAGCTTGTGACTTCACAAGTGTAATCCATTCACACAAAAGAGTCGCGTTTCATTTACGAAACTTCCGTCCGGAGTAAGTACTTCATAAATTTTCATTTAAGGGAACACCGCCATATGTGCGCGCGCGTAGCAGTTGATTAATTATTCCGATTGCGGTTTGCATCAAAGCTGGAAACGTCGTGTGAGAGCTGCCGATTTATGCCGCGGATTAAATCTACGTTTTGTAAAACGTAGATGCATTTCGACAACTGCGAGGCGAACGAAAAGATCACTTTTGATATTTCTCATCATCGCTCCGACGTTTGGCACATCGAGAATAATAAATGATAAATTGAAAAAAATTATCTTCTCAAAATCGCAAATTGACGTACGAGATAAAATGCGTACCTTCTATCTTGCGTAACGATATCAATTGACATCGCATGCACAGGTCTATCGTATTTATCATCGGTTGTATGTACCTTATGGATAAGCAGAATAAGGAGAATCGTAAGGGACGATATATCGCGCGTTAAATCGCCGCGAGTGCAGTCAGAGAGAGAGAGAGAGAGAGAGAGAGAGTTCGAATCGAGCGACGTAGGTACACGTGGGCTGCACATTTCCGTCTCGCGGCAGAACGAGATCGAGATTTATCGTAGTCTACGTGGCGGAGCCAGCTAGAATTAATGCACCGTCCCGCACCGCCTCTACCTCCCCCCCTTCCCCTCCCCCTCACCCCCCTCACCCGCCGAAGTCATTCTTCGCAAGTGAGGTGCTTTATTCTTCGCAGCCGTCCGCCCGCGCTTTTTCCTTTTTTTTTTTCTCTTTTAAGCCGTCGTGCGTGCGTTCGATCGCCGTGCAATGATTTAGCGTCGTTACGCAAATACGATTCCGCGATAACGATCGGCGGCCGTCGC